TCTTTCCCAGAGCAACTGAGCAACCAACATGAAAGGCAGAATTAAATGTTTGTATCTCCAGAGCTCTTCTTTCCCTCTCACCTCAATCTCTGCATTGTTAGGGCCTGAGGAGGTTGGAGCTAGGGACAGCACTAGGGGAGGGCTTGGGGGGTGGGGTATTGCTACCCCAAAATTCACGTTAGCCCCCCTGTAGCCACCCCTTCCAGTGCCCCACCTCACCCCAGGGCTGGTGCCACCCACCCCGCCCAGCTGAGCCTGCCCCACTCCTGCCCGCAGCCTGCAGAGGCACGGCGCTCCTGGCCCAGCCAAATAAGTACGTTTAACCAGAAGATGTATAGCACAGCCCCCCACCCCGCAATTTTCTGTCCCCCACCGGGAAGAGGCTGATGCCTCCCCTGGTTGGAGTTGTTAACACAAATACATAGGGCCAAATTCTATTCTGTATGTAAGTAGATGTATGCAAGAGGCCAGGATTTTTTTAGGGTGATATCTTTTATTGGACCACCTGTATAGTTGGGATAGAGTTACACAAGCTTTCAAATGCAACTCAGTCTTCATCAGGTCTCCTAAGTAGATTTAGGCACCTAAGCGCAATTCGTTCCATCCAGCTTATGTCCCTGAAAAACTGTCGGTTCAGAAGGTGGATGGGTCTGCTTATACCTTGCTGCTTTTTTGTGACAAAAATAGATGCATTAATGGATTTTCAGGACTTGAATGGAGCAGGTAGAATCACACTTGAGTGTGTCAGTCTGCTTAGGTGTCTAATAAGTGGAATGGAGTGGCACTATGTTGGCACTGGATTTATGACCCGGGTACCTTATTCCAGGTGGGCCCAAACCCTCAGACTGACCACAGCCTCTTCCATTCAAAAACAGGCAAATTATATTGATATACAGTGATACCAGATAAGAGTAATGCAGGTGAGGCAAACAAAATACCCGCTCCTTCCCAATTCTGTATCAGCCCTAGGACTGTCACAAAGGGAAGGTACATGTGGCCAGCACATGAGCTTCACCCTGTAGCTCTTTCTTGAATATCAGCAGTCTTGAAGGTCGAGGGCTGAGGCCCATCCTCCCCCAGTTGGGTGGGTAAGATGGGCTGGTGGTGTGCCTTCTGTCCATGGTGGCCTTGGGTTCTCGCCGTTGGGGACCCTTTGCTGCTCTGAAATCCCTCCTTTTGTTTTGTTTTCCTCCTCTGATGACCAGGGATCCTGGTTTTCTCTGATAAAAAAAAAATCCCCAATTTTCAGATTTAAAAAAGTAACCCAAAATCCACATGTTTCTGTGATTAAAATGAAACACCACTGACTGATAGAATGTGGATAGTATGATGACCACAGGGAAGCTAATCAGTGATGCCTGGGAATGAAGTCATCAGCAGGGATCCTGCAGGGACCACCATATATATTCTGTTCTGGGAGCATATGCCTTTGTTTCCCCATCATATACACATTTCTTAATTTGGACATTTATTGGTTTCTTAATTTGGGCGTGTCCTGATCTCCTACTTTGGTCCATCAACCAAAACTGGAAATCCCAAGGGCTCTGCAGCTGGTCACTGTGACTTAATGCTACTGTATCTCATGGTATGGGTACAGTGTTCAAATTTCCCAGCTTATTTATGCCTGCTTGTCCCCCACCATTATTTATGCCTGCTTGTCCCCCACCATAAATAAGCAGGCTTATTTATGCCTGCTTGGCCTCTAACACGGTGTTTGCCTTGAAGGTAACTGTCACAAAAAGGCTTTTTGAAACCAATTAACCCTTGCCAGTCCCCTGGACCATTGTTCTAATGCAATATCTACTTTCTCTATGAGCCAGCTCCTAGAAGCAAATATCTAAATATCATTTTCTAGCCATCAGTCTATAGCTCCTGAGCAAGCAGTACTGCTGATTCAGTAGAGAGAGGAGAGCTCACCTCAAACCTGTTCGACTCAATGCTTGTCTGGAGTTCCTGAAAGTATTGTCTCTTTCATGAGAAATCCTGACCACTTGTGGGCACTGAAAAAGCCCATCATATGTTTCATCAGGGTCATGCTGCTAACCTGGCCTCCAGGCCAGAATTCAGCTCGCACAATTATATTCTGTCTCCATAAACATCACACCTGCATTTCAATTTTGAAAAGGTGTTTCTCACCTCCTCCGCAAATATGCTGGGTAGTTTGGCTGGGAGCTGCTAAACACATTCTGTGTTTCACGTGCATTTCAGTGACAGATAAAACGCAGCTCTGATGTACACTATTTATCATTTGTTAAGAATTAATTATGTGCTTATCCTTGAATAAAACACAGCAGAAGGGAGGTAACAGCCACAGAACTCCTTTCTCTCCCCAGGACTGCCTCAATACAGCATGATATATGGGATGATAATGCCCTGTGCTTCTCCAGGGCATAGGGAGAATCCCCCTCCTCCTGCCCAAGGCTTTGAGAAGGGCCATTCCCCACTAGAAACATGGGATTTTGTGGGGCTGACCAGTGCTCTAGACCAAGGGTACGTGAGGTTTGGAGGGAAGATGACTGTTTCCCAGACACACCGATAGTGCTTTCCTTCCCTTCTCCACCAACAACTTGAAGACCATCAGGAATTCAGAAAGCAAGAGGAAGGGCAGCTGCCCAAATAGACAGGAAGTGGTAGCGTTAGTGGGAGATTCTGTATTAGGCATATGTAGTGTACTGTATCCATTCAAGTATGTAAAGGATCCTTGGAAGTGAAAGGGACTGTATCTTTGTATGAAGTTATAGTTGTTACTGCCAAGTTAACAGCCTCCTCTGTGAAAGTCTAAGGCCTATTGTCCCCAAGATCCCATGGCAGAGGACTTTACTTGCTGCTGGAGTCCACTGTTCTTTGAAACCTTCGCTGTCTTCTCTGATCTGTTCAAGCTTTCATGTGTTAGACCCTAACTACAAAAGAGAGGTTCTGAAATTCAGAGGTGCTGTTTGCTACACTTTGGCCACCTACCACTCAAGGCCATTTCCCGAACCCAGGGCAGTCCTTGTTTAATTTGACTTTGAACTCAGTTTATATTACTGTGCTGCAGATTGTCCTCATGCTGCAGGCTTTGTGCCCCCCAGAGTGTAGCTGCACTGCACAAGCTGTCAGGCCAGTGGGTTAGTAGGGACAGAGGGCACAGGACACCGAAAGAGGGATGAAAAATAGCTTGGGCTTTTGGCACGCAGAGATATCAGCAAGGGGGTACTCTTGTTTTTTTCTGGCATGGAGATAACTTTGTACTTGGGGGGAGGAGGAGGTTATGAATCATATAAGCAAAGAATTGAAAGCCTGAAAGGGGCCTCAAGAGACCATCTAGTCTAACTATTTGCACTGAGGTAGGGTCAAGCATACCTAATCTTGACCCTGCCCCAGCCAGTACAGCCTGGGGACCGACTGGCTAAGCAGCAGCTCTGCAGAAAAGGACCTGGGGGTTACAGTGGGCAGTAAGCTGAATATGAGCCAGCAGTGTGCATTTGTTGCCAAGAAGGCTAACAGCATACTGGGCTACATTAGTAGGAGTGTTGCCAGCAGATAGAGGGAAGTGATTATTCCCTTCTATTCACTGGTGAGGCCACATCTGGAGTACTGTGTCTAGTTTTGGGCCCCTCACTACAGAAAGCATGTGGACAAATTGGAGAGAGTACAGCAGAGGGCAGTGAAAATGGTGAGGGGGCTGGGGTACATGACTTCTGAGGAGAGGCTGAAAGAACTGGGCTTATTTAGCCCAGAGAAGAGAAGACTGAGAGGGGATTTAATAGCAACCTTCAACTCCCTGCAGGGTGGTTACAAAGAGGATGGAGCTGGACTGTTCTCAGTGGTGGCAGATGACAGAACAAGGAACAATGGGTGTTTTTACACATTTTGGGGGTGGGAGGGTGCTTTAATTAGAATGGCTCTGAGAGCTGCTCTAATTAAAGTTCCCAGAGCATCTCATGTACCAGCATCCCCGCACTTCAAAATGGCACTGGGGCACTTTATCTAAAGCTCGTCAAATAAGCTTGAGTTAAAGTGCCCCCTCCGCCATTATGAAGCGTGGGGATGCTGATATATGAGACACAGAGGCTGGCTGGAGCACAGTAATTACCATGCTCCAGCAGATTTAATTAATCACAGAATCATAGAAAATTAGGGTTGGAAGGGATGTCAGGAGGTTATCTAGTCTGGGGTTTCTCAACCAGTGGGACGCGTCCCACTGGTGGGACTCAGGTCGTGGCAGCAAAACCCAAAGTGCCACAGCAGGACTGCCGGTTTTGCTTTTGTGCTCTTCGACTCACTTCTGGGGGACCCTCCCCCCACTGCTCCCCCCCATGTGGGACCACAATTTATTGACCTTACGTAGATGCAAAAGGTTGAGAACCGCTGATCTAGTCCAACCCTCTGCTCAAAGCAAGACCATCCCCAGCTAGATCATCCCAGCCAAGGCTTTGTCCAGCCGGGTTTTGCAAACCTCCAAGGATGGAGCTTCCACCACCTCTCTGGGTAACCTGCTCCAGTGCTTTACTACCCTCCTCATGAGAAAGTTTACTCAATTAATTGAGTCTGCTCTGATGTACTGTAATTACCCAATGGTCTTAAGTTGCAGCAAGGCATGTTTAGGTTAGATATTAGGAAAAACTCTCTCACGATGAGGCTAGTAAAGCACTGTGACAAGTTACCCAGAGAGGTTGTGCAATCTCCATCCTTGGAAGTTTTTAAGTCGCAGGTAGACAAAGGTTTGGCTGGGATGGTCTTACTTTGAGCAGGGGATTGGACTAGATGGCCTCCTGAGGTCCCTCCCAAC